CTCGGCGGCCGGTCCGGCAGCGCAGGCGGCGCGGGACATATCCGCAAAACACTCAGACGGGACGACGGCCGGATCTGACTCATCACATCGACCGCAAATATCCGCGAATGGATTATGGCGCGGTTGCGCCCCCAGTTCCTTCTCACAGTGCTGGTAACTGCTCGCGTCTTGTCAGCTCAAGGGCGTGCGAGGAACGCAGCGCCTTCCGGCAACTGCCGCGCAGGTCGAGACCGTGGTGCCCCCTGCAATCTTAGCACCAGGGTTGGTTTCGAAGTCGACGCCCATGTCGTTCTTTCCATCGCGACCAACACTTGTCCTGTCTTCTTCCGTGACGCCGTTGGCATAGCCATGTGACGCAACGGGGGATGGGTGCTCCTCGCCCACGGCCGACATAACGCACTTGACCGGGGGTCGCGAAATGGTGACTCCGATCTCTTGAAACAGGTCAGCGTTAGGGCCTGGGTCTTCAAATCCATAGAACCCTTCCTTTTGCTTTGAACTCGGCTATCGCCCTTGCCCTAGCCGGCCCCCCAATTCCATCGCCGATCTGGATGACTACCAGGATTCGTCGAATATTTCTGCGTCCTCTTCAACCAAGCTTTTCCGAGCACAAGGTCCTCCGTTTCCGCGGTATCTGGGGCCCAGTATCGCCAGTCATACTAGAAAACCACGCGAATCTGAGGCGTTTTGCTCTTGCCCGTCAATGGCAGAGGCTGACTCAGCTCTTCGCGAGTCTTGCCGGCGGTGAAGACGTTGCGCTTAAAGTATTCGCCCGTTTGTAGGTTCTGGGTGGTTCGTGCCATGATATGCTCCAACTTCGGTTCGCCCATGTCTGGGGTCGCGAGAAAATTTGACTGCCTTGCGACTATGACTTCTCTCTCTCTCTCTCTCTCTCGGCCAATGACCCTGCCACAACACTTGTATATACACAGCTCTTCGCCTGGCTGCCGCAGGCAGCAGTGGGGCAGGAGGGGTCCAGAGGGCCGTTCATCGTCCGTCGGGTCCTTGTTTCTCCTTGAGATGCGCCTGTCGTTCGGAGGCAGCGGTACTCTCAAGCCTGTTGGCGAACTCTCTCATTTCCTGGGTCGCGGCAGAAACCTGTTGAGCTGCCGCAGCCTGCTGGCGCTCTTCCAAGCAACGCACTGCGTTCACCGTGGCCTCCCGGTCTCGCTCCCGCTGAAGGGCGGCAGCCGCTTGTTGTTCTGACCCGGACTGCCTCAGTTTCTCACGCATGTCAGGAATATCCCTCGCATTTACCTCCTTAGTCTCGAACCTATTCCTTTCCTCCGCTTCGCGCTTCTCATTTACGCGTGACCCCGGTGCAAGCCAGGAGCAGTACACGTCGGGCACAAAAAGTTTAGCCTACAGAGGCCGCAAATGTCAGAGCACCCGAAACACAGGCTTCTTTCACTGGCGCAATAAGCCAGGGCAGGGCGATGCTGGCACAACAGCGCAAGCGCAGTTCGGTCCATTGTTGGAACACTTGGCGTTACTGCGTTACTGCGCATGCTGAAGGTGCTCGATCCGCTCAACAAATTGGAGAGCGTCTCTTTATTTTCGGCGATGACAGGCGTCATGGGGAGGGAAGAGGGGGCGGGGGGGGGATGACGTAACGCCCGTGTGCACTGCACGGCTTGCGTACACTACAGCGCCGGTGTACATGTGCACACGGGAAGCAACCATGTGCAACACAGCGCCTGTGTACACCACAGTGCTTGCGTGCACCGCGGCGCCTGTGCACGCCAGAGCGCCTAAACCACAGCATCCGCGTGCAACGCATCGCTATTGTGCACCACAACGCCTGCGTGCATAGGACAGGTAGAATGAGCCTGTACGTGAGGATTTGCTGCGCAAGCGCCACGCAAGGAAAGTACTGATAATCGAGTGCGACGTTTTTCCCTCCTCCCTTCTCCTCCACTTATACCTCCTCCTCCTCCTCCTCCTCCTCCTCCTCGTTTTTTTCTTCCTCCTCCTCCTCCTCCTCACCCCCTGTCGTGCGGGTTGGCGCTACAGCGCGCGTGCGCAACTCAGCGTGCACCGCAAAATGGTTTATTGAATCAGCCCACTTGCTTCTCGGACGGCCAATTTAGCTGGAACCTCTTGGACGCACATGGAAGGAGTGACGGTGATGCTGGCGAACTCGGAAGCACTCGTAGATTATTCCCCTGGCGGCTTCCTTGTCCATAAAGATTATTTTCTGGCGTGTTTGGTGGAATCCACAAACGTTCCATGTTGTCATAATGATTATTTGTGACATTCTATATACACCAGTGGTGCTGTATTGCACACGGTTGCTGTGGTGCAAACGATCGCCGTGGTGTACACAGGCACTGCAATGCACGCAGGCATTGTGGTGTACACTGCTGCGTTGCACGCGGCGGATGTGGTGTACGCAGGCGCTGTGGTGTACACAAGACCTGTTGTGCCCGCGCGCGCGGTGGCACAAACTGACGCTGTGTTGCACGCGGCTGCTGTGGTGTACATAGGCGGTGTGGTGTACACAAGCGCTGTGGTGCACGCGGGCACTGATGTGTACACAGGCGTTGTGGTGCAGATCGCCAGCTACATGCTGGTGCCACCAGTCCTCCGCCATTCCTAGGCCTTCTCAGGCGCCGCCGGCGCGAAGCGTGACGTCATCGACCCCCTCCACCCACCCCACATGATTGCCGTCATCGGCCCGGAATTAGAAAGCAGGCTCCAGCCGCGTCCGCGCGCACGACGACGATGAGCGATGAGCGACGAACCACGAGCCACGAGCCACGAGCGACGACGACGACAACGACGACGATGACGACGACGACGACGACGTCGACGACGACTGCGGACCAGACTCTTCTGCGGATTCCAACGCAGACACCTACGCGGATCCCAATACGCACGGCGGCAGTGCCCGGAGCGCACTGGGGGGGGGGAGCGTTACGTCATAGGGGTGGGGGGGGGGCGGGGGCCATGACGCGCGTCATGCCCCAAGCAATACAGAAATGGTCTCTTGGACAGATCAGATATCTTAACTCGCGGTCTTGGGGCCCAGGGTCTGCCCCTCTCGGTACCCCTCTCGCGGGGGGAGCGGGTGCGCAAGTCCGGCGTCCCCGGCGTTGGGGCGGGTTCTTTGTGTGTCGTCACTGGAAAGCGCGGTGGGGGCCCAGGAGCATCGTTCCCAGGCGCCCCCCCCCGGAACGAGCTCAGGGTTGTACTCCGGAGGGCCACCATACCTACTTCGCTTCCCGAGCGGCGAGGTCACTGAACGACTAACAGGCTCACGTCTTTGCTTGCTCGTCGTGCTTATCGAAGCGCCCGCGGCCTCTTCATCTGTAATATCCTCCACATTCCGTTCCAGCAAATCGTCAGATGGAATCGCGGCATCTTCGCCGAACGTGAGCGGTGCCAGCGCAGGGGGCTGGAAATCGCCAAATGGAACAGGAGACACTCACCCATATACCTCACCACCCCCATAATGTGGCCCGTGATCACCACGAAAATCGATTGGCATGGGCGTCGACCTGCGAGACACATTTTGCTCCGATGCATGAGTCTCGACGTCGTGCTAGCAACAAGATGTGAGGGAGCCAGCCGGCCAGGGGAGAGCGCCCGGAAGGGCGCCCGCGTCGGGTGGGCGGGTCGCGAGCCTTTTTACTTGAGCCTACCCACAACAGCTGCGTCGAAGTTGTGGGTAAGAAATGGGCACGGTGGGATCACTAAATCAAATTGATGCCTGCACTCCAGGAGCGTATTGCTGTGGCCTCACGGATCACTGGATGCAGGACAGGGACGCATATGATCCGCGATGATCCCACACATCCATATTCGGATACAACTGGGCACGCCATGATTCCGACACGACGAAAGAAGTTCGACCTGGGGATGTACGAAACAGCGCACCCAGCGCACAGCAAGGCTCAATCGACGATCCCACTCAGAACAATACATCGGTCAGGGTGAGGACACGCTTGTGGGATGCAGCTGTGTCCCGTCCGCATCCTTCCATTTCCTCCGCCTCCCACTGTCGCTCCACCAATTTACCCCTTCTCCGCTTGTCCCCCTCCCACCCCTCCAAGGGGCCTGCCGCTCCGCTGCCCCTGCCCTCCTATTCCTCCTGCCTCCCACCCGCAGATCCTGGCAATTAACCTCCAGTGCTACCTACCCCAACCCTTTTATGAGCCATCCAGTGTCTGAGCAAATTCGACGTGCAAGTGCACATGCGAACGGGCTCACTTCTGGCAATGGGCGGCCGAACAGACTCAATCGCCGAAAGGGCTCAGAAATGAACCAGGGCCTTGTACCGCCTGGTCGGGCCAGAAGCCAGCATGGCTGACCGCGGCATCAAGCGTCTTCCCCAGTTCCCAGTATCCCCAATATCCTCCCTCATTCCTCCTCCACCTAAGACGCCCGAGATGATGAAGACGCCGATGGGGAAAACGGACGACAACGGACGCTGTCGGAAACTGAAACTGGCTGAAGCTGGGCAAACCGCATTGAACACTCATCCGACCAAGGTCGCTGCAAAACTGACGACGGACTCGGCTCAAACCGAACTGGAAACTCGTCCCCGTGTGTATCACGGAGGGGCGCACCAACTCCATAGTATCGGTCTAGCGATGGAAGAATCCAGTTACACCTCCCTCGCGTCACTGGTTCAACATCCTTTCCGCGCTGACGGTCGGTAAAGTCATTGGCGCTCGTGGGCGCAAATGAGCTCAATTGGGCGCGAGTGCCACATTGGAACATCTTCAGCTCACTGCACTGACAAGCGGAGCACCTGCGCGCAACAGAACCCCACGCCCTCTTCCTCCCCCCCTCTCCTCAACCTCCTCCCCCCCCCGTCCTCCTCCTCCTCCTCCTCCTCGTCCTACTCCCTCCTCCTCCTCCTCCTCCTCCTCCCTCCTCCCTCCTCCCTCCTCCCCCTCCTCCCTCCCTCCTCCCTCCTCCCTCCCCCCCCCCCCCCCTCTCTGCTGCAAACACCCCCCGCGCGCCCCGACCCTGCCCCACTCCCCCGCGAGGGCCTGCAGCGCCCCCAGCCAGCCGAGGCGGCGGCACAGCGCCCGCACGCGCTCGTCGCAGTCGCCCTGCCCGGTGGCTCTTCGGAGCGGCGAGGGGCCGTCGCGGTGCCGCGCAGACGTTTTTTTTTTTTTTTTTTTTTTTTTTTTTTTTTGGCTAAAAAAATACAAAAATATTTGGAGAGGGGGAAGAAGAGGCGAAGGGGGAAGGCACGACGAACACCCTGCCGATCCACTCGCCCACATGTCCTCCGCGGGCATCAGGAAGAGAGCCAGAAACGATACAAATTAGCCCCTAAAGCGTATCAGCGCGGTGCCGCGCAGACGGGGGGGCCGAGGGCCAGGAGGAGAAGAGGCCCGAGGATCGAGGTGCGAGGACTGACAGGATTGGAGAGGAGAGCCGAAGGTCGAGGATCGAGGATCGAGGGTCGAGGAGGGGGAGGGGGGCTCCCCGGGAGGGGGGAGGGGAAGGAGGGGGGGCGGGCCACCGAACACAAGTCTCTTGACGACCACCTCGGAGCTGTCAAGCTGTGACAGTGGAGACCCGATACTCTCTGAAGGCACGAGAAGGCTTCATCCGCACGAGTGCAGACGTTCATCATATAGCTTGCGCGCCAGTGCAGCTGTCGCCCGCAGAGGTCTCAGCAGGGCGGCAGCACCGGCGCAACGAGTCTTAACCCGAGGTGAAGTGATGGCGCACCTCTTGCCGTCCCCATCGAGTGAACTTCGACCTCTGACTCCTGCCGCTCCTGTCGTGGCCCCCGCGGCAGGCGTCATCTGGCACGCAAGGGGTGTACCATCCCATGTTCGAGTGTCGCTGCCGTGCCAGTGCACTCACCAGCCCGCCTCCGTTGCCGGGGTCGGCTTGGATACAATGACCGCTCGTGTGCGCGACGCCCTGCATGCCGATGCCTTCGGTGCCGCGGGCGCTGCACCAGACCATGTTGACAGTGTTGGGCGCAGTGAGCGTGCATATGCGTGTACAGATTGCTGGGCGTCTTGAGATCGTCCTCCACACCGTGGCGAAATCGGGACGAACTTCCCCGAGCAGAGGCAACCCTGGACTTCGGGATACAGAATCGCGAAATCATGGGGATGTTGGTCCAGTTGAGGTAGCAACCGAACAAAGACACATCGCCAACGAACAGGTAAAAGCAAGGCAGCGGTGGGCCACGAGTACAATGACCACGAACATGTAGAGGAAGTCGGGACAGACGGGGACGCGGAGGGGCACGTACTCGAACCCACCGCTCTTTTATGATGTGTTCTCGCGCGGCCGCGTCGACAGCACAGCCCCGCGAGGCACGTGCACACTTTGGTATATGGTTTTCTTGTTCGGAGAATCGGTGGGCACAGCGCCGCCACCAGCACATGTGCCCCCACGCGATCGAAGGCGTCTTCCGCATTGTATTCAAAACATACGCCCCTCCCCCGGAACTCGCTTCGAGATTCGCTTGCTCTTCTGAGGCGGCGGACGTTCAAGTCTGCTGGTTGTTTCTCCAAAAATCTCTGAAGAGACCCACCCCCGCCCCACTGCGCAGAATGTCAAATGCATCACCCATCCTCCTTAGAGTCCGTGGGCGGCCATGGCGTTTCCGTAGCCTCCGCGGGGCTATGAGGCTCCCAGGGAAGGCCCGGGAAGGCCACGAAGGCCGCCAGAATGGCAGAACATGTCTCGAAAACGGCCAAGTATGGCTCAACCAAAGCCCAAGATGACTTCATGACGGCCCAGGATGGCCTAGAGATGACAGGGGCACCACAGACAGCCGCAACAGGGCTCCAAAAAAGGAGTACGGGGGGGTGGCTGTCTGGGGCCCGTGCCGCGGCAGTATTTTGCATTCTCGCGTCGGCGCCGCACACATTTTTTCAAACATGGCGTTCTTGCCACGGCGCCGAACACACGTTTGGCAGCATCCCGATTGCGATTGGAGCCTCGTCGGGACTGCGAAAATCCGCAAGGCCTGCGCGCGGCGTCCGCCGTCTCAGTCAGGGTCGGCACGGCCTGCGCGCAGTATCGATCCCTTACTGACGATTCTGTGGTAAGGACTCCTTACTCCAAACTCCTTACTAGGTGGTTCCTTGGTCAGGATTCCTTAATACTGATCCTTGCTACATATGTATTGATACATGTTCCTTCGTACATGTTCCGTACTGCAGATTCCTTACGAACGATTCCTCAATAAGGATTCCTTCATGAAGCTCCTTAGTACGGATTCCGTCGTATAACATGTTCTCCAGTACATACTCTCCTTTACTGAGGATTCCTTGGGGTTCAACGGTTCGGTGATCCAGATTCCTGAGCAAGGATTCGATAACCCATATTCCTTACTGGGGACCCCCTAGTAAGGATTCCATCGCATAGCTTCTTTAATACAGTTTCCTTGCTAACGACTCTAGGTAGAGGATTCCTTGGTGAGGAACTCTTAGCAATGATTGACAAATACGCAGTCGTTAATGAACATTATTTGGTACGTATTCCTTCGAACATAATCAATGATAAATATTCCTCACTAAATATTCCTGAGTACCTCAATACCGACTTCTTAACATATGCTCTTCAATACATACTGCTGCACAGCAATTCTTTACTACAAATTCTGGAATGCCGATTCCTTACGAAGGATTCCTGAAATAATGGCTCCTGGTGAACGATTTCCTTTAAAACGATTCTTTAGGACGCCGCCCTTACCAATGATTCAGTTTTGTAAACACTCTCTCGACCATATTCCTTACGAAAGCCCCCTTCGAAAATACTTCCGTCCAGGGAATATTTAACAAAAGCTCCTTACTAAAAGCTCGTCCATCGAGATTCCGTACTTAAGGTTCCCCTCGTCACGGCTCCTGGCTAAGGCCCCCTCAATGAGGAGCCCTTGCGAAATATTCTTTAGAACCGATTCCTTACTAGGGATTCCTTAATAACGATTCCTGGTGCAGGTTCCTCCATGAAGATACCTTACTCAGGATTCCGTATAACATATGATGTGCAATACAAATGTGTGTGTGTGTGTTTCGTATACTCCTGACGAAGGCTTCCCTGCGAAATATTTCTCCGTCAGGATTCTTCAGTGATGGTTCTTCCAACAGGGACCATTAGTAATGATTTCTTAGTAAACATGATTCAAGTCCAAGCATTACTGGACGATGCCTGGCAATGGCAAGAGCAGGGCCACGAATTGCAACTACACCACCAACCGCGACCAAACAAAACAAGGCAATGCCAAGCACGATCAACCAACACGGATGCCAAGCATGTCAAACTAACGCCAAGCAGTGCCAAGCATGACCAAACATTTCTTGACAAAGCCAAGCACGAACAACCGACGCCGAGCACGACCATCCGACGCCAAGCATGTCCTACGAACGACAGGCAATGGCAACTGCAGGACCACACATTGCCGAACGCCACCAAACGTGGCCAACCGATGCCAAGCATGACCAACCAATGCCACGCAATGCCAAGCACGTTTGCTCAATGCTGCGCACGACCAATCAATGCAAAGCAATGTCAACGTCGACCGTGCAACGCCGCGCGCCAACGCGCAATGCTGAGCAATGCCAAAGACGAATAGCGAATGCGAAGCAAATCCGACCGCGCCCATTCAATGCCAAGCGCAACCATGCGACGCCAAGCACAAACGACCAAGGCCAAGCATGAGCACTCGATGGCAAACAGTCCCAAGCATGACCAAGCAATGCCTCGCCCATTGGCACTGAGGCATTTCGTTAGCAGTGGAGCATCCCGCAAATATACTTGGCATCGTACCGGGTCTTTCCACAGGAGCCACCAGTCTGAAACAAACGCCGTCGGGGCCTCCGCAAGCGCGCCGCCGTCGACGAGTGAAAAACATACAAGGGACAGGCACACGGGGAAGGAGGACCAGGAGACCTCATGGGGCGCCATCGGACATCGGAGGCAGCGGTGGCGGGGCCGGTCCTCGAAACCAGTCGCGGCGGCCTCGGAGAAGGGAGAAACGGGAGGGAAACTCCCGCCCCCTCTTGGCGATTTTTCTGTTTCCCTACCCCCCCCCAAAGGGCTAAGGGGCGCCAGGGGACATCGGAAGCGGCAGCGGCGGGGCTGGTCCCGTAACCGGTAGCGGCGGCCTCCGGGAGGGGAGAAGGGCGGGGGGAAATCCACCCGCCTCTTGGCGATTTCTCCTCCCCCGGAGAGGCGCCACGGGAGGAATGTGGTTCACTGCCGTCCACGGGGGGGGACAGTGGGGTGGAGGCTCCGTCCCTTCTCCTTCGCCTCCTCCTGTCCCTTACTCGCTCACCTTCTCTGCCTCAGTGCTCCCCTCGTCGTCCCCTCCTTCTTCGCCTCTCACCTCCTCGTCGCACCCTCCTCCTTCGCCTCTCCCCTTGTTCGCATTCCCCTTCCTTTCCGCGCCCCCAGAAACCACCTCACCAGAATCCCTCGTGCTGCAACAAAAACTCTCAGAGGGCCCGAAAAGCAAGCATCATAAAGACGCTCCCTGGATTGTGCTGTGGTGTGTGCGTTCTCACCTTACCGCGCCTCCGTCGGCTCAAAACGACCCATGAGGCCTCTGAGATGGCCCCAAGACGGCACAAGAGGGCCTAACCAATCCCACCAGCCCTTTGGGCGTGAGTGGTTTAGAGAGCTCTCTCTGTCCTCAACCCCCCAACCCCCCTTCTTCCCCTTCGGGGAGGGGTTTACCCCTCCCCCTACCCCCTCCCCCTGGGTCTGGAGAGGGATTCCCGCGGGTCGTTGGGGGGGTCTTTTCCGACTCCTGGGAGGGCCAAAAAACGACGACCCTCACGAGGATTCTGGCCCCGACGGGGGGGTATAGAAAAAATGCTCACCTCTTCTCTGAAGCCAAAATCATTGATCTTACTAAGGTTTTGGCCCCATTTTGGCCGTCTGAGGGGCCAGCGCTGCTGCTCCTTCTTCTCAAAATTCTTGGTTTTACGAAGGTTTTGGGCTCATGTTGTCCTTCTGAAGGGGGTAGCGCTCATTTGCGCTTCTCAGGAGGTCGCAAGAAGCCCCCAAGAGGCCCCAAGATGCCCCCAGGAGGCACCCCAGAGGCCTCCAAGAGGCTCCCACGAGGCCCCCA